CGTCGTCGTCGTCGTCTCTCTCTCTCGTCTCTCTCTCTCTCTCTCTCTCTCTCTCTCTCTCTCTCTCTCTCTCTCTCTCTCTCTCTCTCTCTCTCTCTCTCTCTCTCTCTCTCTCTCTCTCTCTCTCTCTCTCTCTCTCTCTCTCTCTCTCCTCTCTCTCCTCTCTCTCTCTCTCTCTCTCTCTCTCTCTCTCTCCGCGCACCTTGTCAACACCTGACAGTTATAGGATACCCCGTGTGGGACTACCTAAAAAGTGGTCTGTGGCAAGTGTCCTCGATCGCCTGCTGTTCGTGCCGGCACGAATACCAGAGGCCGCTGTTGAGAAAGAGCGCGTCGGCTGACAATGCAAATCCTCGATTCATGAACATGAAGATAGGTAACATGGTCGTGCGTGCGTGCGTGTGCGTGCGCGTGTGCGTGAGTGTGACAGTAGCCTACGAGAGTCGGTCAGCATGGTGTGGCACAGTGTTGATCTGGAAATCCGTTGTTTATTGACAGGTTTGTTAGTCGCAGAGTTTATTTTCTGCATCTGCGTTTCTACTGTTGTGAAATTTAATATGTAATTGGAGAGAAATCCCTCCTGCTGATCTGTAAGTGATTGCATCGGCTGATCGCACAGAAGTGTAGTGCAGAAGACGGAATTAAACCTGAATCGCATGAATGTTAGTATGTGATCAAGGTCAAAGGTCAAGCCCGTTGTCGTGATGCTGTGTGGATCCTTTTCAGGTAGAAGGTATATTGTTTCCACCAAACATGCTGTGGCTTTTCACGAGGGATCGAAGAAACATTTTTACGTGCATTGAGTATGAGATTTAACGTGTAGAGATAGCAAATGTGTGGTGATATTTCATCTCTGCGTGATTTCTAATCGTAATGTGAAGTTTACACTTGTATTACACTTGTGATTTTCGCAGGTGATTTTTCAACAGGTATTTCCAGCGTAGTTCTTTTCTAGATTTCTGTGGGTCACTAGACTTAGCATCATATCACTTATATTCAGGCCTCTCGAATCAGGGAAAAATGAAGAGGGCAATCATTTCCAGGAAAATTAAATTGTGCGTGCAGTAGTAAAGGTCCTTTCGTATGTGTGTCCATTATCGGCTTAAACGAATTATTGATTTGTCGTGTCTGGCGCCCTCGCAGCTGCCACCCAACCCCACATATTCGTAGGTGTCTGGCTGGCTGCCTGGCTGGCTGCATGTCCTCCGCGATGGCGTTTGGATCGTGAAATGGGCAGGAAACGGGATTTGCAACAGGAAAAACTCCAATGTGTCTTATATATTTACACAAGCATGACCTTTCAATTGCCAAAAGAACGTGTCAAATTACAAATTGCCATCTGCGCATGTTTTAATTAGTTGTTATTCATGAAATCAGTAACTTGGCTAAAGTCGTAAGCCAAGAAAGTTACAAATATCTTTGTTCTCTCTTTCTCTTTATAGTTTTACCTACCAGTTCCAACTGCCACTCTTTAGAATTGAAGATTATTAAGTTTAGCGAACGTAAGTTAAGATTCATAACCTAAACATTTAATGTGACCTCATACATTTAAAGTGGTGGGGGACATTACTAGTGCTTGTAGTATTGGGGTTGGTGTACTGTCTCTAAATAACGTGGTTTGCATGTAATATATATATATATATGTGATGTGTGTCTTGTATAGTATAGTGTATGTCCTTGTTATTACATAAATATCAATATTGGCAATGATTTTAGGTGAAATATTATACAATTATAATAATGAAAACAATTATTGTCCCATGAGATTCAGCCTCATTCATTAATTTCCGATTTCACGAATTAAAACTATTGATTGTGATTTTTTGCAAACAATAAATATTTGCAATAATAGGCAATATAGGTGTTTGTTCTGTCAGGTGAGTTCATATAGAGGGAAGAAAGCCAATAAGTATGCACAATAGAAGGCCATACGGCATACAGTAATAGGAGTGTAGTGATGCATCAAAATATAGATTTTAATTGAAATAGTCTGGCTGGATAGCAGTGCATCAATGGCAAAGTAAAACATGTTTAATCGATGGTTCATTGAACAATTGATAGTTTTCAATAGTTGCAACGTTAAAATACCAGGTTAGTTCATTTACTGCTAAAGATGCGTCATTGCGCGTAAATGTACATGAAAACCGTGATTACGTATAATTTAGTGGTATAGCCACAGGTATTCTTCATGTTGCCAATTTGAAATACTAATGCACAATGCCAATTTGACCCCATATCAGAGACCGGCTTGTTTTGAGGGCATTCTCCTTTTCGAACGTTAACGATAATAATTGTGCTAGCCAAGGAAAGAAATTTGGTTACCGTGGCAACAAGACAGTCGAATTTATAGCGCTGGCAGACGTAACAACTGCGGCAGCAGTATAACTATAATGGTAATCTCGTTCAGACTGGAGTCTGCTGTTTCACGTCAGAGGTTGACACGGCTAGCATTCTCATAGTCATAGACACTGCATGACTCAACGATATTCTGTATCCACTACGGTCTGTGGCGTGTGAGTGTCTAATATAATAATGTGCTGTTATAGCTGCTTGCACGATAATTCCGTACGCCGTCTATAATTCATTTATGCAGTGGAAATCTTTTTGGGGACAAGAAACGAATCAATGTTGTTCCCACCAGCAACAAGATTGATGGTTTTTGGTGTGTGTGTGTGTGTGTGTGTGTGTGTGTGTGCGTGCGTGCGTGCGTGCGTGTGCGTGTTTGTGTGTGTGCGTGCGTGCGTGTGCGTGTGTTTGTGTGTGTGTGTGCATGCCTACCTGCGTGTCTGTGTTACGAGGAAATTTGTTGTGGTGCCATGGTTGCTTAGCAGTGCTAATATAGCCATATATGAACCTGTAGTGCTAATCGAAGTAGCCGTGGTTCGTGGCTTAGCAGAATTGCTAGGTTCTCGTGTAGATGAGGTGGCATGTGCCAAAGCCATGCAGCATTATCAACAACACTTGAGTCATCGTGGTCTCCGGGTACTGATGACTCATACTCATCTAGGAAAGGTGTGTTACTCGAGAGTCGAGTCGCAAATAGGGCAGAATAATATCTATTATTACTGGCACATAAGAGCAAAGAAGATTTAAGATGAAGCCAGTGGTAATAACACTGTACTCCCTCTCAACTCCTGCCAGTGGAACTGCTCTTTTACTAACAAACAATAATATAATTAACAGCTGTGCTTAACTTCCGGTCCATACGATGCCCGTGATTTATTTATATTCATATACCTGGGGTGTTTTCAGGTTTATAGGGAGTATGACACAGTTTTGTGTCATTCTAGGGTTGGGTCGATATGTAGATATGTCGATATGTATTTACAGTAATTACACTAACAATAATTATATTTCGTGTAATTATATGGTTTAAAGCTAATCATTTTATGTTGTATTTTGCCATGACCATCTGATATTGGCAAACAAGAAATCGATGTCCTCAATTGTGGCAGGGTTAATTTGCAATTTGTTAATTGCGTGTGATGTGAGATCGATGGGGGGAACGTTGCATGCCATGTGGATTTGGGGTTCTCAACCCTTCGAGTGGTCACTGATCACAACACTGGCAGAGATCTACAAAGCCAGCGTGATAGGCCATGCCATGTCTTATGTTTGGTGTCACCAGAACGTCAGCGTAGGTCGTGGCCTGGCGAAGCTCCCTTCAACTAAATTGGTTTGCAGCCGTAATAGGTCACAAAATTTCGCATGCAGGTAAGATTGTTTGGAACACGCAAACCATTTGGTTCAGGCAGGTCGCGTTTGTAAAATTGGGAAAATCTAAATTTTTGGAGCATTGTTCGTGTGCCTTGTTCACACATTGTTCGTGTGTCTTGTTCAAAATACTTGGTCATGTTGGTTGGGATTCCCTCTACATTCGACACTGTCCCCCGTCATGAAGTTTCTAAAACGTGGCTGCATAGACGTGCGTATATGCGCAAACCTAATATTGTGCCGACGTGCATTTCAGAAGTGAAGGCATCGAACAATGGCAACATGGCGTTTGACGTCATCCTCGCGCCGGCATCGTCGCCGCGGCCCAACAGCCCGCCAAAGAGGAAGGTTTTGAGCATGGACGACATATCGAGCAGGCTGCTGGCTGCTGAGGAGCGAAGGAAGGTATGGCAGTTACGCACGAACCCCAGGCCAGCCCCCTGCGAGTCCCCTGTCAACCACCTGTCAACCACCCGTCAACCCTCTGCGAACCCCCTGCGTACCCCCTGCAAACCCCTTCTCAATCCCTTGCGAAATACCTGTCAACCCCCTGCAAACCATCGCCCAATCCCTTCCGAACCCCCTGTCAACCCCCTCCCAATCCCTTGCGGACCCTCTGTCAACCCCCTGCGAACCACCTCCCAACACCCTGCAAACCCCCTGTCCCCTGTCAACCATTTGTCAACCACCTGCAAACCCCCTCTTCCCTATCAACCCCCTATGAATTCCCTGTCCCCTATCAACCCCCTGCCCCCTGTCAACCCTGTCCGGCCAGTCTGCGTGCTCTGACAGCGAAGTAATGAGAGAGTCTATTCTGATCGTCGCTCGTTAAGGCAGGCCGGACTTTGTAATTGCTGGATGACTCTTAGATTAACTTAAACGCTGTTCTCTGACCTGAACCTCTTTCAGCACATAACAGCCTATATATATATACAATGGTCAGCAGTCTAATCTGTATGTAATGGTCACACGAGGGAAACCCGAAAAGCGTTCTTCATAGGAAGGTTTCCATTATAAAGAAGATTCACCATGTAACTGCCATTTGAATGAACCACCCAGTACCCCATAACACCTCCACTGTATTCTTGGCTACACAATCTGGTCTAATACGTGTGTGTGTGTGTGCGTGCGTATGTCAGCTATGTCTTATATATATAAATATATATATACACACGCACACACGTATATAATATATATACTGATTTTCCTGTGAACTATAAAGATCCGATGAAATTTTTCAATCATATATTGATGCACATGTATTTAGTGTGTTTGTCACTAATCCCGCGCGTGCGTTCGCTCTGCTGCAGTCGCTGGAGGCATCCAAGCTGACATCGCTGTCGGACAAGCTCGCGAAGGCCGAGCAGGCGCAGGCGAAGAAGGCTGAGGAGGAGGAGAAGTTTGTTGCTGAGGCTGAGGCGAAGCTGCAGAAGAAGATGGAGGCGAACAAGGAGAAGCGTGAGGCGCAGTTCCGAGCCCTGCAGGATCGCCTGAAGGAGCACGTACGTACCTCCTCCACTCTCTCTCTCTCTCTCTCTCTCTCTCTCTCTCTCTCTCTCTCCTCTTCTCTGTCTCTCTCTCTCTCTCTCTCTCTCTCGTCTCTCTCTTCTCTTCTCTCTCTCTCTCTCTCTCTCTCTCTCTCTCTCACTCTTCTCTCTCGTTTTTCTTCTCTCTCTCTGTCACTTTCTCTCTTTTTCTCTCGCTCGCTCTCTCTCTCTCTCTCTGTCGCTCTCCCTGAAAATATACTAGTATATTATTATAGATATACTATACTATATATATGATAGTATATAGTATATGATATACACTAAGTATTAGAACGGTCAAGAAAATATGAGAACGGTTAGTAAAACCGTGTGAAGTCATTGCTTTAAATGGTACCTCCTCCTTTTAAACGAGTACCTCCCTTTCAGTAGTAATTCCTACCTTTAAGGACTACTTCCTCTCTTTAAAGGGATAGTAGACTAGGATTTTTCTGCATACAACTGTACTTATTGTATAACAAATCGTCTATACCCACACGTATTTGTTACCAGATACCCAAATTTAATTGTTATAATTAATTACACATCAACGCTACGAAATTTGAACGGCGCCATGACACCCGCGACCGTGCTGCCACACCGAAAAAGTTGCGTATATTTGACAATTTATTTTGCACGTTACAGACCGAGGGCTAATCACAAAAGTGCAATTATATTTATACCTAAATGCTATTTAATCAAACGATATTCATTTTATGGCAAATTTATCCAGATTATAACTGAAACTATATGTCGTTTATAAGATATTACAATCCTTTTGATTTTAAATTAATAAATAAGAAACACTCGGTCTGTAGCCCTTGGCTGAAAAGTGGTTTTGCGCAACTTATCAGATCGTGCGCTTTGAGTGGCGCCACCGTCGTTGTAATCAAACTGTAGTCGTTAGTTTTAAAACATTTTTGAATAATATTTTTAATGGTGATTGAACCAGAACACTTTTTATGTAGCTTAATTTTAACCTAAATTAACTGAAAATAACCCTAGAACCTAGAGTAAACGTTCCCTTTAAGGATTACTTCCTTCATTTGAGGGATACCTAGTTTCCTTGAGGTCGCAGCGCGGACGACCTGACCGCTGCATGCCGGTGTAACCTCGTGCGAACTCCCGTTCCCTTCGCAGCAGCGCTGGCCGTCGTTTAGAGACAACGTATTAGCCAGCGAGCCGTGCAGCCGTGGTTTGCACGGTCAGTTTTGAAACTGCACGGCCACAAATGTGTAGCACGGCCTAAAATATTGATCTAAAGACACGTACAAAAAAATTGCACTCCCAAATATTTTTTCTGCATCCCACAATACTCATTCCTGGCTAATACCCTGTTTAGAGATGTCATTAACTCTGCCGCTGGCTGCACGACGACTGTAGTGCTGTATCGGTCACGCACGGTACGGATTTCCACACCCCGGTGCTTACAATACTGGGGGAATCTTCTGTGAGACGATGGCCTCTTGTAGCCAGACACTGGATAATCGAATCGGATGACGATGCCTTGTGCAGAGATGCCAACCACTACGATTTATCCGTATTTTATACGAATTTCTATTCCTTTTGCACCACTACGACCAGTTTGTATAAAACTACGAATTTCACTGTGATCGAAATTTTTTATTTTTTGTCAATTTATTGTCATTTTTGACCCTCAGAATGCAGGAAATTGCATCTCAGAATCAAAAATTTTCTGGGGGGCATGCCGGACCCCCCCTAGCAAAAACGTGACCCTCGAACTACTAATTTGATGGCCAGAAACTACAGATTGCTTCTAATGTGTTGGCATCTCTGCTCGTGTTCGTTCGATGAGAGGAGCTTGTATGCAAGCTGATTACTCCACCTGCTATTATTGCTCTGATTGTCGCGGTGTTTCACGAATTTTGCATTCGAATTTTTGTTGCGTTCCTATCCCCTCGTGTGTGTTCGTGTAAGATCGATAGTGCCTGGCGCGCCGTAGCTGCTCGCGTGAAAAGCCGCTGCGTGCGCCACGCTGGTTGCGGGATGTGGCAGTCTAGTTTCATTTAAAGAGCGTGGCGGCGTGCCGTTAGGCTGAAATTCATGGATGCCGCTACATGACTCAGTGTCAGAGCTACTTGCTGAGGCTGGCGGCCAAACTGCATTGCTTAGTCATCGAGACTAATGCTTGAGACTCGAAGGCTCGAAGCGATAGTAACTGAATGGAAATTACTCCGATGGTATGCCATTGACAAACGTTGAGGAATACGTTATTGCTGCATCGTTTCAAGTACTGGACTTATATGTGGAATGAGGAACAATTGTCAAATGGTTATTGGTTGAATACTTGCATAAATACTTCAAATGCCTAATCAAACATTGAACTCTTTATTGGGCCCTATGGTTTTACATATAAATTGACATGAATTGTGGTGAAATTGCAATGAGTGCTCTATGCATACTTTCGAATATTTGCAAATTGTTTGAAATGTATCATGTGGGGGAATGGGTATCCTCATCTACAGTGTGGATCTCAGGAAGATAATTAAGAATCTGTAGACTTTGCTGGTGGGCTAGGTTGGTGATTTTAAGCATCGAAGGTGAGGCTGGTTAATAGGCGGGTTAAAACGTTAAATCTGTGTGGGCGACCGTGAGGGGAGATGCTACAGCCCTTTCCCCAGAGAAGGGTCGCGTTGTGGGTCGCCTGTCTCGCGAAAAGCCAGCAAATATTGTGTCTCACGTGGGGGATGCGTCACATCGCTAAAAAAACCGCATGAAAGGCGTGAACTTTGATCGGTCTTAGTTAGTTGCATGACGTTTGTAATGCAATGTCGCTCATCGATTTTTTATTAGAAATCTTATTTCGTGCAGTCAGTAATTGGCTTTAATGGATTTAGTGATGAGCCTAATGTATGTGTGTCCATGCTAAGGTTTTAAGGAAACTATCACTGCATTGTAGGGGGTTGTAATATTCGTTCTAAAATTGTGAACAAAGATTTAAATTATATTCCTCATGCATATAAGTATTCTGGAATCATATATGTAATATTGCCAAGCCTTAGTGTCGTCTACCTAATATTATGACTTCTTTCTGATGTCATGTGAATTGCTATCACTCTCGTCATCGACTTTGTCTGAAACAGGATGACTTTTTCTTTGCGGGTGTTCTTTGTATAGATGCTCTTGGTGTACAGGCTGTAAGCGGCGGACCGTCTGCTCGCAAGCTGATATTGGATTTGTGATTAGCATTTGAGTGTGTCTGCGTCTGCGATCTGTCTCACTCATCCCCAACACGCTGTCTATCCTCAGTATCCTGCCTCCCATGCTGTAGCTATCCCGCTGAATTCCACGCTGTAGCTATCCTGCTGCCTCCCACGCTGTAGCTATCCCGCTGCCTCCCACGCTGTAGCTATCCCGCTGCCTCCCACGCTGTAGCTATCCCGCTGCCTCCCACGCTGTAGCTATACTGCTGCCTCCCACGCTGTAGCTATCCCGCTGCCTCTCACGCTGTAGCTATCCCGCTGCCTCCTACGCTGTAGCTATCTTGTTGCCTCTCACACTGTGACTCATAGGATTTGTACTCAATGATTCAGTGATTTATCACCATCAGTTCATTACTAGCTTCAGCAATATTCTGTGGTAATAGCGACTGATAGTATTCCTTTTGAGTGATAAATCTTGTGTAAGGCCGGCGCCTGTCGGTAGCATATGGCCGGTAAATGGCATACGGTCGTAATGACACTTACTTGCGTGTACCAGTGGTGCACTTACACTAATGCAGTGTGCCTCCACTTCGTTTCCCCCTGTTGCTGTTTATATGGCCGTACTGTTCTATGAGGACAGGACATAATAGCATTTCAGTTTTGCCAATGTGTAGGTTGCTTGCACGAGTCCAATACATAATTTACAAAGCACGGCTTTAATATATTGTTTATTGTGCTTTTAGTTGTAATTCTCCCCATTGCGTCGTACTCATTTGCATTTGTTATTTCTTGCATTTGTTCTCCCGATCGATCGTTTCTATGGCAGCGCATTTGCGAACGTAACGCCGCATCTTAATTTCCTTTTGTTTTTGTTTTTTCGCTGCATGATTTCCCCGTCCCAACCCACTGTCGGCCCTGACGCGTCGTCGACAAACCCGCGCGTGCCACGGTGGCGCCCCATAGGAGCGACACGTGGAGGAGGTTCGGCTTGCCGGGGAGAAGTACGTGGATGCGATGTCGACGAAGCACCGCATGCAGATCGACAAGAAGCTGGAGGCGGCGGAGGAGAATCGCTGCGCGCAGATACGCAGCGTGATGAGCAAGCTGAAAGAACACGTAAGCTGTCGCCGCCGCCGCCGCCGTCACGCACCTCGCGCAGCCGCCGTGAGCTGTGTGTGCGTGCGACGCACTGCACACCTCACACACCGGTGTGTGGGCGACGCACTGCATGAGCGTGTGGCCGGTGTGGTTGGTTTGTGGCCGTGAAGTGGTCAGGGTGTGACTGGATTTGTAGCCAGTTTGTGTCCAATGTCTGGCCAGCGTGTGGCTGGTTTGTGGCCGTGAAGTGGTCAGGGTGTGACTGGTTTGTGGCCAGTTTGTGACCAATGTCTGGCCAGCGTGTGGCTGGTTTGTGGCGGGTGTGTGGCCGTGAAGTGATCAGGGTGTGACTAGGAAGTGTGCACATCACTGCATCGATGGCACTGTTTCACTAACTCCGTCTAACTGTCGTGTGCGTCGTTTTTGTGTAGATTAGTCGAGCAGGTCTTCCTTATGTGGTTACCCACTGCGTCGTTACATTTTTCATTCAATTACTACTTTTTCATACCTACCTTTTGTACCGCTCCTTCTGTTTGTCTACTTGACTGTAGAACTCTACTTCATCTACTTCAAGTAAATGACTGTAGAAGATGTAGTGGTGTGACAGGTGTGTTAATAATGTGTTATTAAATCTGCTGTACTAACTTCGTACATGTTGGCAAGATTACTGCTATGTCCACGTCAGGTGCCAGTGGTTTTGGTTAATGAATATACATTTTAGAGAGTGGCTTGAATGACTATTAACAAAAATTGTTGTGTGGTTCTATATGTAATATGCTTAATACTAACAACTCTTTTTTTTAATTGTCACGAAAAATAAGTTACAATATAACTAGTATTTCTGACTATTTAAGGTGTAGGGATTTCTTTTTATAATGAATATCCATCTTGGCATGGCTTTTCTGTTAACAAAATTCTATACTGTCTTGCCGTGTTTATGTATTGCATTATGCCATTAATGTGTTTCATTCTATAATACCTCATTACCTCATACCTCATTGTTGGGGGGAAAACTGGTTTGTATTGTGTGCACTGTGCATACATGATGAAATACTTGTGTAGAAAAACTTTAGAGGGTAATTAATGCATGTTTTATGGATGGCAGACAGTTATATTGATTAGGAATTAATTCTGTTTGTCTCGTGACGTTTCTTTGCGTGTGTCATGGGGCGTGGTCACCGCACACGAGTGCCTGCACAGCGTGTGTCGAGACAGACCGGTGTTTGTTTGCCAAAATGCTAGCTAACAAGCATCTATCTATCTCTCTCTCTCTCTCCCTCCCCCCTCCCTCCCTCCCTCCCCTTCCTCCCGTCCTCCCTCCCTCCCTCCCCTTCCTCCCGTCCTCCCTCTCTTCCTCTTCTCTCTATCCCTCTCTCTCTCCCACCTCTCTCTCTCCCTCTCCCCCTCTCTCTCTCCCTCATTCCCTCCTCTCTCCCTCATTCCCTCCTCTCTCACCCTCTCTCTCTCTGTCTGTCTGACTCTCTCGCTCCCTCTCGCCAGACAGGATTATAAACTGCCGATCGTTTTGCGACAGTGGTGTAGGCGGCACAGTATCAGCTTGCGGTGGATTTTGCTGCAGCAAAGCCGTGCGATCAATACGAGCGGCTTGTGCAGCCGGCGACGTTACGATCCGCGTCATAGTGTCGCGAGACAGACGCGTGAGTCATTGCGCTGCGGGTTTTCACGATCCGGCTAAGCGTGACGACAAGGGAGCAGCCCCACGCATCCCTCCTTGTCGTTTAAGCAATATGGGAGGGGAGGGGAGGGGAGGTTTGAATGTGGGGGCTTGATTCAAAATTTGATACACGTCCACATTTGTGAGACTGCCTTCCCTCTCTCCACCTCTCTCTCTTTCCCTCTTCTCCTCTCTCCACCTCTCTCTTTCCCTCTTCTCCTCTCTCCACCTCTCTCTCTCTCTCTCTCTCTCTCTCTCTCTCTCTCTCTCTCTTTCCCTCTTCTCCTCTCCCATTCTCCCTCTCTCCACCTCTCTCTCTTTCCCTCTTCTCCTCTCCCATTCTCCCTCTCTCCACCTCTCTTGCTTACCCTTTTCACTTCTCCCATTCTCCCTCTCTCCACCTCTCTTACCCTCTCCCATTTTCCCTCTCTCTCTTTCCCTCTTCCCCTCTCCCATTCTCCCTCCTTTCTCTCTCTCTCTCTCTCTCTTACCCTTTTCCCCTCTTCCATTCTCCCTTTCTGCACCTCTCTTACCCTCTCCCATTTTCCCTCTCTCTCTTTCCCTCTTC